TGAAGTAGGCAATGTTATGGATTCCCTGGAATTCAGGGGTGTCAACGCAAGTAGGATTTGGACAAGATAAAGGGAGAGATAGGAAATTTGCAATACGTTCAGCCCCAGAAACAGACTCTCCAGAAGAGAATGACGGCAAAAAAGTGCAGCTGAGACTGGGAGGAGAAAGTGCTCTCCAGCGCTCAGACAGGATGTTACAAACCTGCAAAGCCAAACAATTTGCTCCACTTATTTGAATCTAACTTTAAAGATCTACAACTTCTGACTCTGAAGAAAAAGACTGCCTGTCCTACCTGTACTTGCTTCTAGATACTGGGGCTCACTGGCAATCCCCTTCTTCACATGACGAAGCGTGACATTGTATGTGGTGCCAGGGTGGAGACCCACAATCTCATAGCTGAGCTGCTCTTTGGGCAGGTGGACTTGTTTCACCAATGTCTCATACCCTACTCGATAATAGCTAATGAGGTAATTATCCACATCAATCATATGATCCCAGCTGACAGCCAGAGAGTTCTCTGTGGAGTTCAGCAGCTGCAGGTTCTGAGGAGCAAGCACTAGAATAGAAACAAAGAAAAACATTGCAGTGAGGATGATGTCTTAGCATTTGGTCCAGGGCTCACATGGCCAAGCAAGAAATTTTTTCAAACCTATTTTGAATACAGAAAGAATGCAGAAATGGAACTCCCAGTCTGTGGTCATCTTGGATTTGTCCATTTCTTTCTGCCCAACAGTATATCATTAAATACAAATTAATATTGCAGTCAGTAACAAATACAATAATTTCCTGGACTCTTCTTTCCAGCTTCTAAACCAACACTGGCATGAGGAAAACTCTCTCATAAGGCTGTCCCTTCCAATGTCTCTAGGAAGAGAAAGAAAAGCCAAAACCTTCTTTTCTTATCACTGTCAGAGTTATTTCAAAATGTCAACTAGTCCCCAGAACTGGGGAACACAGCTTCTCCATGGCAGAGGTAGAAAACTGAGCTTTTATACTGACGGAGGCTTACACTTGGTGCCTGGAGGACACCTGGGCAAATCTGCGGAACACAATAAATTTCAGGACACCAACAGTGCCTTAACCGTTCTGCCACAAGACAGACAGCTCACCAGTATCTTGAGGCAGCCCTTGAAAGCCTCTGAGACCTGAGACATTCTCAGGCTAAAACTGTAAATGAGTAAATGAGACATTTACAGGCTCCATACCCAGTTTTGCTCTCTCCTTCAGCTGCTATACACAGGCTTGTGCTAGCACTACCTTTAACTGCATTTCCACCTTTCCCCAATTCAGAAGTGTTTTCCAGGCGATTCTTGAAGACAAGGACCAGTCAGCAATCCCTAGCCCAGCAGGAACTCAGAGAGGAACATGGTGACCCCAGGCTTGGCTTATCTACAGGATTAACCAAATGTTTATGGGAGGTAGAGAGGGAAACTCAGAATGAAAGAAAGAAGGGAGAAATAACTCACAGGCATGTCTCACCCTGGGAGCAGTCAAGGCCAAAGAAGCCATCGTGGCAGTAACACTCTCCTGTGTCACAGAACCCATTGCCACTGCAGTCCCCGGGACATCGTTTCTCGCTGCAGTCCTCTCTGATGAACTCCTCATAGCACTGGCAGACCCCTTTGGCTGTGTCACAGATGCCGTTGCCAGTGCAGTTCTCAGGACAGAGCTGCTGGCTGCAGTCCTCACCAAAGTAAGGCTCATCACAGATACACTTCCCACCATCACAGCGCCCACGGCCACTGCAGCGGCTGGGGGCGGGGG